GAACATCTTCTTGAATAAGCAATCAAATAAGTACTTATGGAACATATTCTCAAATAAACACTTCTTGGACATATCTCGAAAATTATGAATGAATTTTGATTGTCAATTGAAACATTAATCAATCTAATATTATTTAGAATGCAGAAAATAAGTTAAACTAACTTCATTTTGACGAGAATTTTTTTTTATTTTCATGAAAAATTTGCTGAAATGAGTGAAAATTAAAAAAAACGGTGTATTTTCCAGGATAAAATCCGTACAATCTGTACAATTTGAAAACAAATCCGTACAATCCGTACATTCCGTACAATTTTAGGGTTAAAAAAAAATCAATCCATACAATCCGTACATTTTGGCCACCCTGCAAACCATACATCCGTACTCAGACATAAAATACCTAGACAGTTAGACATATCATACATCCGTACTCAGACATATATACCTAGACAGTTAGGCATATAATACATCCGTATTCAGGCACAAATACCTAGACAGTTAGACATATCATACATCCGTACTCAGACATATAAACCCGGACAGTTCAGACATATGTTACATCCATATTCAGACTTATCTCACATCCATACTAAGGCATATATACTTAGACAGTAGGACATATCATACATTCATACTTAGACATATATATACCTAGACAGTTAGACATATCATACATCCGTACTCAGGCACAAATACCTAGACAGTAAGACATAACTCACATCCATCATCAGACATGTATATCTAGACATTTAGACATGTCATACACCCATACTCAGACATATATACTTAGACAGTTAGACTAGGGTTAGACATATCTCATCAATATGCCTAAGTATAAATGAAGGATATGTCCGAGTAAGGATGTATTATATGTCTAACTGTCTAGGTATATATGTCTGAGTATGGATGTTGAGATATGTCCAACTGTCCAGGTTTACATGTCTGAGTACGGATGTATGATATGTCTAACTCTGTAGGCATTTATGTCTGAGTATGAATGTATGATAGGTCTAACTATGTAGGTATATATGTCTGAGTATGAATGTATGATATGCCCAACTATCAAGGTATATAAGCCTAAGTATGGAAGTGAGATATGTCTTACTGTCTTGGTTTGGATGTACTGTCTAGGGAGTATGGATGTAAGACAAGTCTTAACTGTCCAGGTTTATATGTCTGAGTATGAATGTATATGTCTAACTCTGTAACCTTAGGATGGATGTAAGATATAGAAATAAAAAATTTTCCGGATTTTTTTCTCTCAAAAATTTTACTTTTTGAACTTTTTTTTGGAGATTTGGTAATAGATGTCAAGAAGAGTTGTTTTTTATATGTTAGTTAACATCATGTATATTACAGAGGAAGAAAACAAATTAAGATTGCTTGATGTATAAGGTCCCTGCTCCGGCTTGAAAAATTGTTAAAATCGCAAAAAAACCGGCCGTTTTTCAAACTTTAGTGACCGAGCAGGGACCCTTAGGGTCACCAAGAGTGTACTGCTTTTGACATAGGCTAGGTAGAGGGCAGAATAATGTGGAAACCTGTGTACCGTATTTAATATACTGGTTTTATCTGTGTACTGAATCTAACGTACTGTATATACCTCTGTACTGTATTTAATGGACAGTATATGACTTTGAACTGTATTTAATGTACTTTATATACCCATGAACTCTATGTATTTAATGTACTCTATATATCTCTGAAATGTATTTAATGCAGTGCTTAGGATCCATTTAATATTGATGCAGACCTGGATCCGGATCCTCAGCACTGATTTAATGTACTGTATATACCCGTGCACTGTATTAGTTATACTCTATATATACCTGTGCACTGTATTTAATATACTGTATATACCTTTGTACTATATTTAATATACTGTTTATATCTGTGTACTGTATTTAACGTACTGTATAAACCCTTGTATTGTATTTAATGTACTGAGTATACCTGTTCATGATAGTATTGATGACTCTTGGCTCCAGATCCAGCAGCACTGACCGAGGGATGTAGTGTTCATCATCAGCCTACATCAATCAATCAATCAATCAATCAATCAAGTTAGTTGATTTAAAATCAACTAATCAAATGTGTATTCAATTCATTTATTAATAAAAAAATCTGTCTTGAACATGACCAATCAATCAATTAATTCATTTAATAATAATTATCAGCTAATCAATTATTTAGTCAATCAAGGAATCAATCAAATAATCAGTCAATAAACTTGCTCATGGAAAAAACAATGAATCAAAAAAGTTGCAGAAAAACCAATAAAATAGAACAGATACAAACACACAGCTCAACCGAATTGAATCTATTTACCTGGTAGAAGAAAACATCCTTCCTATCTATACCCTCTGTAGCGTGCTCCAGTAGTATTCCTAGATAGGCTGGGGCTTGACAAGGGCGATGATAAAATATTTTAAAAATGAAATCCCAAATATGATTGACTTAAATGATTTAATGTAGTTACAAGTTTGAATTTTTCTGTACGTCCAGGAAAAAAAGGTTACAGAGATCCTACCTCCAACCCCCCAATCCCCCATCCGGCCCTTTTTTCCTATGAAGAAGTTTGTAGATGGAGAAAAGGTTTCTTTGATATAGAGAAAGGGAAGAAGGGAATGGGTAGATATTTTTGATACTTTTTACCCCAAATTAGTTTATTTTTTACAAATCTTAATTGTTGAGTTTCTGCATCTCGAATGACCTCCTTTTTATCAATCAAGTCTTATCAAGCAAATAAAAAAAATTGAACGTTTAAGTAAAATGGATCCAATTTTTCGTTAAACGAATTCAGATTGGCATCAAAATTGATCCTAAATTTAAGATTTAACAACGAAAGATACACATTCCCAGCAATAGAAATAAAAAATACCTGGTCTGGCTTCAAAAATATCAAAAATGCCTTTAGTCTGAAACAAAAATTTAGATTAGTTTAAAGGCACACATAGCATACAGGTTACAGTACATTTAAACAAATTTACCACGACAAACATTTACAGTACACTCAGTACACCGTGTACACAGCACAGTGCACATGTTATAGTACAATACTGTCCACAGTACAAAATTTGCAAATATCTAAATAATTTAAAACTTTACAGTAACACTTAGGTTTATACAATGCGATAAAAGGACTAGTTCTAACTAATGCTTAACAGTTTAAACGACAAAATAAAGCATTACAATTTTCTATTTCTTTATAAATATTTATAAAGATATATTGACCTGAGTAAAGTTGCACAGATCGAATAAAATCTATCAAATACAAAAAAAGTTTATATTTCCCAGGTTTTCAATATGTTTTAATGAAGCGATTATACTTTAAAAGACTTCATGAAGCCATCAATTTACGAAGTAAAAGTGATCATGGCTCTCCTATAATCGCAAATGATCAGTTATTACCAGCCGTCTCTTTCTAGAAACAGGCATTTAGGACGGTTTCTACATGCTTGCTTTAACTTCTGAGGTCCACCGTACTTCTTCATATCCTGGCAAGCGAGACAAATCTAGAATAAAAAATGTCAACCTACGATTGTTTAAAATCATTTTCAAACAAAAAAAACTAGACTTTAAAAGTTTTGAAACTACGAATGTTCAAAATCACTTTTTAAAATGTTAAAAACAATCTGAATAAAGAACAAATAAAACAATTTGAATAAAGAACAAGTAAAACAATTTCAATAAAGAACAAGTAAAAAATCTAAAAAAAGAAAAAAATATTAGAATAGTACAGTAAACGATGCTTAATGCCTGCTACACACTATATTAGATGTGCACAAACGAAGAAAAACACCATGGGTGTATATTTTCCTTGATAACTTACNTTTATAAAAATGAATGATTTTTAAGTATCAAGAAGAATGAAAAACTTGCTTTTAGATGTCACATTTTTTTCCCCTATTGATAAAAAACACCCCCATCCTAATTCTGAAAAATATACACCCCTGAACACCACTTGAACACACCGGTCTTACACATTTAAACAGAGTAATATAATCAAAGAGAAAATAGCATCTCATTCATTCTTGATCGGACGAAACTTCAAAGACTATCTTGTGAATCGGACATGCCACTTTTTTCTTTTTTAAAGCAATTTTAACTAACGAATTTACGATTACAGTCCCTTAAAAAATGTAAGTTTAATTTTTAAAGCATACTTACCAAACAGTCCATGACTATGCAATTCATGCAGCGTTGACATCTAGTCCTCTTTTTAGGTCTTATCTTTCTATCCATCATCTTCATCCTATTCTGATTGTTACTTTGCTTTATCATCTTCATCTTAATCGCCATTGTGCGTCGTCCTCTCTCCTCTTTAACAAGCTCGATATCCTCTCTCATCTTCTGGTTGAGAACCAGTTTCTTCATCTTCACATCACACAGCTTTATAATATCTTTATGTTGGTTTCTCAAGAACTCATCTGTGTCTTCTTCGCTTGTCTATCAACAGAGNATAGCCCGACCCCGAATCAGAAATATGGATCCAAGTGAGAAAATAGAATTAGTGTGTTTTTAGAGCTTTAGCATAAAAAATGCAGTTTCCCCCTATGAAGAAGGGTTGTGATATTATTGTATTTGAAGAGTATTTATATACGATTATTTAATTTAAAGCCTATTATCACAACCATATTTTTTTTTCTTCAGAACCATTAAGTTCACTATTGCTTAAACAATTGTGAATAAGTATGAATTTTAGAAGGTTTTAACTACTTTCAAATTGAAAACCCCCCAAAAAACTCAAAAGTTAAGTTTTAATATAAGAATCAAAATCACTAAAAATATGATTGCAAATTAAGATTAGATGAGTTCCTTGATATCCATTGAATACACTGTGCGTCCCCCCTAGTGAGTCTTCCGGCAGTAGATCAAGTTGACGGGGATCCACTGAAGTAGGAGGACTCTCACACCGGATAGGAAGCTCGTAACTCAGACTTTCAACTGAAAATTTAATGGAAATAAAATATCTAACATTAAAAGTAGACAATTTACTAATTTTGTGAGTATACAAAATGCAAGTTCATTGTTAATCAAAGTGCCAGTGGCCAAAATTTTAGGATGAACGCTTCAGAGCCTACAGATAATTTAAAACAAATTAAGTTTTTGGGATTTGTTTAAAAACGATCTAAGCCAAATTTTTAGTCATTTGACAAAGAAGTTAAATTAAGAAATTCTAATTTAATTTGAAATTTTTTTTCTAAATTATTGATATTTTGTTTACATGAAAATTAAAACATATGAAATAGATTTGAATTAAAATATTAGGAAAAGATTTGTTCAACCGATCTGTGAAGAAAATGCTGTTTTGATTGTGCATTTATGTTATTTAACAAATAATAGGATTAACTTTTTAAATTTTAATGAAACCATTTTTTTTACACAAGTCTAAAGAAAGACCCGAAAATGAAACGAAAAACAGCGTTTTCAAACAAAAAGACCATTTGTACCGATCATTACCTCTTGATTTAGAAGCAAGGAGTTTTGATGGAGATCGTTCAGACAGATAAACAGGCAAACCCCTAAATATGCGAGTTCAGTTATTTTAAGATGTATTACATGTTAAATGAAAAGTAATCCTCCCTAAAATACATGTCAACAGTAAACACACTGCTTGATTTGAAACAAGGATAACTTGGTTACAGATCTTCTACACAACTTCTACTCAATTCGGGTAGTAAACCTATGGAACAATTTACCTACTGAAATCAAGGATGCTAAGTCTCTAAATATCTTTAAATCTCTACTTGACGCCTATCTTTAACACCTTGAATCACTATGTTAGGATTAGTGTGCAAAAGGTTACACAAGGAGGACGTAAATCTAGAGGACGTAATCACTACTCCGAGAGGACTTCACTGAAATTCCCGCTATATTCCTACCTGGAGTCCTGGGGATAACTCATCAAGTATTCCAAGTAAGTTAGTAATAAAGGACAGGATCGAGAAAATGAAAATGGGCAATGGAAAAACCAAAATACAATCATGATGAAGTTTCACATTCAATTTTATTTAAATGAAACATCAAGAATAGAAATAAAAGCAATACTAACTACTAATCGGTAAATAATTTAGTTATGGTCCATACTTTTTATCCAAATGTGCAACCCCCCCCCTCCTCCGTAATGAGGGATGAGGGAGGAGAAGCAAGAGAGGGAAAACTACTTCACTTACCTTTCTTTAATCTTAATGCCTGCCATTGATCGATTGACAGATTTCTGAAGTTCTTCTTGTGTATAGTCCGGTAGATAAACAGCTCCATGATCTAAATAACGCATGTTTCCAAAATACGGATATACTTACTTAAAAGTCATCTTATTCAGCAGCTTTGAAGGGCTCACCGTAGTTTCCAACCCGAATAAGCCCCCACCCCCCATTGTAGTTTAAAATTAGGCTGGTTCAAGAAACCCTTAATAGCGCTCTTAACTAATCCTGGTTGGTAGGATCATCTACCCTACGCGTTCATAAGTTGTGTTAATACCGGTATTAACAGAAATGCTAGTTTAACTAAGAGCGGTGTTAGCAAATCCAACAGCTGGGTAGATTTAGGTAGGATCATCTACCCTAAATACCAGCATTAATTTGGTTTGGTCTCGATATTCTCGAAACCTTATAAAATACAGGGATGTTTAAAAAACAAATAAATACTTCTTATTTTGCTTAATTCAGCCCCCCCCCTTCTTTAAATAACTATATTAATAAAATAGTTTCAATATAAAAAAGAACATTTTCATGTGAAAAACTTTATAGAAGATTTTTTTCTATAAAATATATCTTATTAAAAAGTTTTTATTTTTTTATTAACTTTGATAATGAAATGTAAAAAGTTTAGTTTGCAAGATATTTTCATGAATTTTTAATCTATCTTTTGTCATAAAATAAAAAATGTATTCTTTAAAAGTCGTCTTTATAATTATTAACAAAATATTAAGTTGAGAAGAGATAAGAGTTGCGCAAAAGAGTCAAAACGGTAAAGATTGGATGAAAATCCTGGTTTTAGCTAGGATGACTTATGCACGCAACAGCTGTTCTAGGCTAGATAATCCTGCCACAAATTAGGCAGCAATAGCGACTTATGAATCCGTATTTCCTAACTACCAGTCTTAAGATACCGGACTCAGTCTTGAACCGGCCAATGGTCATTATATAAGGAAAATTCTAGCTACAGCAAATAAGAAATTAAAAAGTTTTAAATATTTAAGTTTCAAATACTTTAATCCATTAATGCAATTTCAATATTTGAACTGTAAGATCTTAAATTGAAGATCTCAAGTACTCAAAACACTATAATTAGTGTATAGCCTTTTTCTTGTTCTCAAATATGGTCTATCTTATGTTTCAGCAAAAGTCAAAACCCACGCTTAAGTCACTACATAGATATCATGCAACTAGTCTTCGCATAATTAATCTGTCTTGTTTAAAACACCTCTCGTCAACATTTCAAAAACGAGATAATATTGGTTACTTACTGGTGAATCGCCTCGCTTTCTTTTCGTTTTTTTTTGTATTTTTTCTGATCACATTCATAGTTTCTGCTTTTTCCTACTTGTTGTAAATCGACCTTTACTTTAAAGTCTAATGCTTTCCCTCCAGAAAGTATATGAAAAGGTCTTTTATTGAAAGCATTTTTTCGAACTATCTTGGTCAATTATAAATGGTCTTGTTTAAAACACCTCTCGTTAACATTTCAAAAACGAGATAATATTGGTTACTTACTGGTGAATCGCCTCGCTTTCTTTTCGTTTTTTTTTTGTATTTTTTCTGATCACATTCATAGTTTCTGCTTTTTCCTACTTGTTGTAAATCGACCTTTATTTTAAAGTCTAATGCTTTCCCTCCAGAAAGAATATGAAAAGTGAAATTGTACTTTTTTGTCCCTACGGTCTCTATTTGGTCGCCTATTACTGAATTAACTTTAGCGAATTTACTTTACTGAATTTACTTTAATTAACTTAAAAAGTCATTTACCAAATATTTACGATTTTTTATCATAAAGAAATGATCCCTGTGTAAACATATTAAAATCAGAATGTACGTGTTTTTGATATATATATAAAGTTTACTTTGTTGTTTTTGTACTTTTTGTTAAATAAATAGATTTGAATAATAATAATTATATACGCTTGCACATTTATATGTTTCCTAACTAGCAGGTTTATTAGCTTTCCAAAAAACTGTTGTCTCGTACCTGTTATAACAGAGAAGAGAAGACCCAAAACAAGCCTGTTCATTTTAATCTCTCCATCGCTGCAATACACTTTCAAATCGCAGTACTCTAAACACACATACAATATATTACAGTCCTAGTATTGGATTTTGGACCCCCCCCCTCAACCATTTTAGTCCACGCGATTTTGAACTTTTTTACAAATGAATTAAATATTAATTTTGAATTACATCAGAAGCTATTTCTGAGACAAACGCCGCGGCTAGGACAGGCTAGGGAGTCGGGCGCTGCGGCCACAATGTTAAGCTTTGCTCATGTATTAAATGTAATAACTATGCATAAAATGATTAAAAAAAGGGGGGGGGTCCAAAAATCCTTAGCCGGGAATTTAGCTAGTGATGTGCTGTATGCTTACCTTCAAGTCCCGAAAGCTGAATAAGCTCTCCACGAAGTGTATCAAGGTGTGTAGATGAATTGATGACATAGTGCTCTTCCTCCTCAAACATTTTTGAATCTGAATAATAGAACACATGCTGCAATTTAAGCATTGATATTTGCTGTAAAGATAAAGATTGGGCATAAAGGCTAATGATATGGCGAGGAAATGCTAGTCGCAGCTAGTGGGCCGAGCGGTTCGGGGCAGTGGCAGACTTTGGATAAGCATACAAGGAAAAGGATTTAAAACAGATAATTTTTCTGGAGCAATTGAACTTGTGTACTCAACGGTGTTTCGAAATAAATTTCTTAGGTTGTGTAAAATTTAGGGTATATTCCTAGAGAACGATTTTTGGACCCCCCCCCCCCTCCTTTCAATTTTGTACATGGATCTTACAGAAAATGTCTTAACTTGACCTAACCCGTGGCCGCAGCGCTCGGCCCCCTAGCCTGTCCTAGCCGCAGCGCTCGGCCCAGAAAGAGTCTTAACCTCACCTAACTAACCCTAAATAATACTATATAAATAATAATTTGGTCATGTACAAAATTGATAGGAGGGGGGGCGGGGGGCTGGGGGGGTCCAAAAATCGTTCACTAGGACAGACCCTAAATTTAGTCTAACTGACATGAATGTACACAGACAATCTGAGTCCGTCCTACGAGTTCAAGAGAAAGCTTCACGTAACTCGGTTACAGATATAATGTGCCTAGCCAATTCCTCTGAACCGGACCGTAAATTATTTGATAAAATATCTTTGATCCTCGACAGCGCGGCGTGGAGCTAGCTGAGATCGAGTTAATTGTTTATAAAGAAAACTCACAACATCTATCGGCAAATCATAATATTAAAAAACTTTCACGGNGAGATCGAGTTAATTGTTTATAAAGAAAACTCACAACATCTATCGGCAAATCATAATATTAAAATACTTTCACGGGATTGTATTGATCTTATAGCTAGAAAGATATCGAAAAAGGCCAGTGGCCATCCGATGTCACGATTTCGGGAGTTGACGGCGGGAATCATATTAAGGTCGACGCGAATTAATTTGAAAATGCCGCAAATGTTATTAGATCCTAAACGTAAAAATGAAGACGATTGTTATAATCAACTAATCGTGGTGCAGTTTTATTAAAGAACTACAGGGTTTTGAGCAGTGGCGTAAATAAGGGGGGTTATTGTGGTTACTTACCCCCCCCCCAGAATCCTTGGGGGTAATTACCCCCTTCCCTATTAGAATCTTGGGAACATAAGCATCCCCGTCTAGAATCCTTGGGGTAAGTATCCCCCCTAGAATCTTAGGGGTAAATACCCCCACCCCCTAGAATCTTTGGGACACAAACATCCCAGTATAGTAACTTGATCTCCATTCTCCATGTCCATGATAACCATTTAAAGGAAAAATGTTAAAATTATTTTGGCGATTCTAGCAGAAAGTCTTACTCAATCAACTTAAAAAAAGTAACATAGATATATTTTACCCAAAAATCTACCACATTTTAGACATTCAAACACTAGCACTTTTCGGTGTTAAATGTTACAATTGTGTTAAGACAAAATAATGTTTACGAAATAAACCGGAATGGTGCAAAGACGATATAAAGTCGTCATTTACTTCCCATGTCTATAATGGGACACCCTTATGCTGTATGGTTTTGTCGCCTAATGTGTAAACAAATATGCGCGAACCAACAGCACATTTCAGCTTTCAATGTCAGATTTAACAAATAGTGCTGTCCAAACATTTATAAATTTTTAGTCAAAATGAAAAGATTCTCTGAATTCTTTATAAAATATTTTCAACCTGGGTTCCTGATATTATCTTCAAAATATTTCGCAGAACTGTTAAAATTATGACGTTTTCAGGCTGAAAATAGGAATAATAATGTTTAGTGTTTCCTCTCATTCAAAACCCCGAAAAGAAATATTCTGCTCAATGTTCGATATGGTGAATTAGTTCATCATCACAAGTTCACAACGCGATGATTTATAAACGTTTTGAAAGTTCTAGGCCTAAAGCTGACCTTGAGAGAAACTGATACATGTGCTTATTGCAAATATTTAGAAAGATTTTTGACATTTTTTTTGTACCTTTCAGACGTATTCCTTATATACATTAACCGATATTTGGTTAAGTAACAATTTACAAAATATAATGATAGAACTTTTTGTATACAAATTATTTCAGAGTAAGTTGTAAAAATGTTACTGTATAATTTTTACTTTATTTTTCGTTGTCTTTATTTAAAAATTTAAAAAAAAAAAACTAATTCTGAAAACGTATCCACCCCCAAAGTAGGAGTTTTGAACGTCGAATTTGCGCTCAAACTCAGGATTTACAGATCTTTAAAAAGTTTTATATGACTCAAATGAATCTGAAAGAGATTTTCCACAACACTGCATACTCAGTTCTACTACCTTATATAGCCAGTCACTCCCTTTAAGTTGCTAAAAATGTTAAATAGGGCTGTTTGTTCCTATAGCTCATTTGAACTGAGATGCAAAAAATGTAAAATTTCTTATATTTTTCAGTATTTTGTCATGATAAATTAAAATCTATGTTCACTGCTCAGTGCTCACAAGTGCTCATTCATTGTTCATGTCCAAGTCAAGTCAAAGTTCGTAATTTATTTATTAATTTAGAGTTTAATTCCTCTGAACTTCCGATAGATTTGTGGTTGCAATATTCAGCAGAGTAAAGCAATTTTTTAAACCTTAACAATTTTCTAACTCTATATTTTCCAAATTTTTTAAAACAGAAAAGTTTCATTATTTAAAGCAGAAAAAGCAAATTCTCTATTTAACTGAAAAAAAAACAAAATCGTTAAAGTTTTTTGTTTTATTTTCCAACTTACTGGAAGGTGAGGCGTAATGTTAGTGTAAATTAATTAAAATTAATTTCTCTAAATTAATCTCCGATAGATTATCAATTTTTAACAAAGCAAGAAATTTATAAAACCTAAACAATTTTCTAAAACTCTATATTTTAAAAATTCTTTAAAAAAGAAAGAGCAAATTCTTTATTTAACTTTGATTAACTTCGACTAATTTCACTGAATTAATCTCTGATAGATTTTCCATTTTATTTAAGACAAGAAATTTTTAAAACCCTAAACAATTTTTTAATTCCATTTTTTCAAATTCTTTAAAACAAATAGATGAAATTCTTTGAAACAGAAAAATATTATTCTTTAAAACCTAAAAAACGTTATTCTTTAAACAGAAAGAACAAATTCTTTATTTTACTGAAAATTTAAAAAAAATTTTTTTTATTTTCCATTCATCTGGAAGGTGAGGCGTTGATGTGAGAACTCGATGTTTTCACTCTCCAGCAGTTTTCTCTTTCTATAAAAGAACATTATCAACATTTTGTATTTTAGGAGATGTTTGTGAGTTAAGTTTGATATCTGAGATTGAATGTTTATGGTTTAAATGTACGGATTATAATTCGCTTGTTTTCAGGAATTAATGGTTCAAAAATGCTTGGGTTGGACACCTTTTCAGTCATACAAATTTCTTCTTATTAAAAGCTCGAAAGAAAATTCAAATATAATTAAGTGGAAGATACATTTTATTTTGCTTTTTAAAATCAGCAAAAAAAAGATAAAAAAGTGCTACACGGGAAACATTGTTCAGATGGAAAATTTCTCAGATTTTTTTTAATGAGTTTTTTTCTGAAATGGTATTTAAGGTGCAAAAATGTGTTAAAAATGAGTTATAAAAAATCACCGTTCATAAATTGCAAAAAGAAAAATTTCATGTCAAATAAAGACAAGGTCTTTTTGTAAATTTTTTGAATATAAAATTAAACTTGATAGTTTGTGTGCAATCACAAACTGATTTTAAAAATCTTTTAGGAAAGGTTTTGCGTAATGAAGATGTGAATAATGTTTCCTGCTGTACACAAGGAAGGCTAGGCCACATGCTCCAGCAGCTATACATGATGTCCAGCCCAGTAGATAGCTCACACCGTACATATCTATACAATATACAAGATAATCAGTAGATAGCTCACACCGTACATATCTATACAATACAAGATAATCAGTAGATAGATCACACCGTACATATCTATAAAATACAAAATAATCAGTAGATAGCTCACACCGTACAAAACATATCTTTAAATCACTCAAACAGAAAAACATTCTAATAACGAAGCAGTGATAACCAGAAAACAATAGAAAAGGAAGACGACATTGTAGCAATACTCAAGTGTATTTGATGGTGTTACAAAGGAAATAGCTTTACTAGACACTTATAAAATTACTTTTTTTGTGACAAGGGTCTGTTTGCGCTGCACAATTGCTGTGTTTCATGGTTGTTGAACTTGATTCTCAAAGTCGTCTTACTATTCCAGAGTTTTCTGGTTATTTCTGTAGACGTACGGTATATAATATATATTGCAATTGTTTAATGTTTATCGTTACCGTGGAACCCAAAAAACTGTGGAATGGGAAGACTTGTATTAGACTCAAGTTCTGATTTTAAATAGTCTAATGAATATGAAATACAACAATTGTGCAGTATACCAAACAGAGGCCTGTATTTTACTTCATAAGATGATTTTCACACTGCTCTTAAAACTATTTGCTTTTAAATAACATCAAATGCTCATTGTTATTGTATGATGGCTTTATTTTAGTATGTATTTGAAAATTTACCTTGCGTATTGGTCTCTGTGACAGCAGACAGTAGTTGAAGAACTGTCAACGTACATCCTGATGTTAGAATATACAGGACAGCTACTAGTCTCTTATATACATACTAAATATACATTTTATTATAAATGTCTATAAAATAAAACAAGACATTCTCAAATATTTTGTTGCATATAGCCGGCTAAACGGCTGGACCGATTGGGCTGAAATTTTTTGTGAACACTCATGGGTGGCCGAAGGGTGTAATAGGAAAAAAATCAAATTTTTTTGTCCACTGGCAACGCCGGGTCCTTTAGCTAGTATCTAACATACAAGTTTATGCAATCATAGTTTTATTTTAAAGTGATCTTTTAAAGACTTTACATTTTTTTACATTTTTCTAAATATATTTTTTTAAATGATCAACAAAAATTTAAAAGATTTACCTTTGGATGATAAAGTGAGTATATGGAGAAACCTATTGAGCAAATACCAAGGAACAGTCCAACAAAACATAACGCAAACTCAGATCTAAATATAGGGGAATACGTTTGGAAACTGCCAATGGTTAAACTGAATACAGGGGAATACGTTTGGAAACTGTAAATGGTTAAGATCTGAATACATGTAGAATAAGTTTGGAAACTGTATATGGTTAAAATCTGAATACAGGGGAATAAGTTTGGAAACTGTAAATGGTTAAGATCTGAATACAAGGGAATAAGTTTGGAAACTGTAGATGGTTAAGATCTGAATACAGGGGGAATAAGTTTGGAAACTGTCGACGGTTAAGATCTGAATACATGGGAAAATATTGTAAACTGTTGATGGTTTAGATCTGAATACAGGGGGAAAATTTTGTAAACTGTAGATGGTTCAGATCTGAATACAGGGGGAAATATTGTAAGCTGTCGATTGTTCAGATCTGAATACAGGGGGAAATATTGTAAGCTGTCGATGGTTCAGATCTGAATACAGGGGGAAATATTGTAAGCTGTCGATGGTTCAGATCTGAATACAGGGGGAAATATTGTAAGCTGTCGATGGTTCAGATCTGAATACAGGGGGAAATATTGAAAACTGTTGATGGTTTAGATCTGAATTATTGTAAACTGTTGATGGTTCAGATCTTAATACAGACTCGGGGGGATGAGTTGGGAAACAGTAGTATAGATTTATAATGTATCGAGACAAAAATAGAGCAATTTGTTATTTTCACAAATATTGTATGCAAAAATTTTGCTATTTATTTGGTACGAAGTTGTCTTTGCAAATCCTTTTTAATCAAACAGTCCCCACTCCTCAATATATAATCTATTTCTCTCACAAATTTTTTTTTCTTAACTTATTTTTTATTGTTTCTTGGGTATTTAAAAGGCACAATCTGATTTTTTTAATTGTTTTGATACTAACCTCGCTAAAAGGCTTGAATAGGTGTCAGAGTTACTCAAGGTTCTGGAACATTTCCAGTAAACAGGACGCTTCTTCAGATATTCATCCTTCTCAAGGTCTTCTTGATTTTCATCTTCATGATTAAACTTCTCCTGGTTCTTTGTAGCATTCTTTGTGAGCTTTTTCAGGTCTTTGTTAGCATCTTTGGTGATCTTCTCCAGGTCTTCATCATCAGTTGAGTTCTCAGGAGCAGCTTTATACTTTTCTACTGCTATATCTGCCTGAGAAATAAAGGCAACGTCATGAAAGCGTGTTGATTGTTTCTTTTACTGTAAACCTCTTAACCTGTGTTTACCTGTAACCCTCTAAACCTGTGTTTACCTGTAAATCTGGGTTTACCTGTAACCCTATAAACCTGTGTTTACCTGTAACCATCTAAACCTCCTATAAACCTCTCGACCTGTGTTTACCTGTAACCCTCTAAACCTGTGTTTACCTGTAAACCTCTCGACCTGTGTTTACCTGTAACCCCCTGAACCTGTGTCTACCTGTAAACCTCTCGACCTGTGTTTACCTGTAACCCCCTGAACTTTGTAATATTATGATTTCTATTTTCTCCTTCTGTATCATAGTTAAGAACACATGTTGTAAGTAGTCCAGCGTGTCCCCAAATAGCACTAGATAATTACAAAAACGAAATCATTAAATTGTAAAAAATTTCATTATATATAAAGGAATGTTCACGAAAAATGAAAGGGGGTATAGTAATTTTTCGCCGGAAGCCTATACACCCTTTCATTTTTCGCAAACACTACCTTAAGAAGAACAGGTAAATTGACAAGTAAACAATCATGGACATGATTAATCCCAGACCGCCTTAAGTCACTCTAAGGCCGGAATTCCGTAATTTGCTGGGATGAATACATATTTAGAAATCAATTAGGTGGTTTAAGTTAAGTAGGTAGTTGAACCAGTTGTATTCAGTTCTACTACATTTTCTACTCTTAACGCAATGCTTTAAATTTGACCTGTGATACTTCGGGTAAACTTGAATTTTCCAATAGGGCGTGGATATTGCTGCAACCCAGAGTGCCACGCCCAGAACACCCAACCCAACCACCCAGCTTAGGACACGCCTTACAACAAGATAGATAGATAGATAGATAGATAGATAGATAGATAGATAGATAGATAGATAGATAGTTAGATAGATAGATAGATAGATAGATAGATAGATAGATAGATAGATAGATAAGCGTCAATAAAATGATCCTACATGCAAAGATTGTCCGATTCACAATGATAACGTTGAAAATCTGAAGAAAAAACATGTTGAAAATATTGTCGTTTTTCTAAGTTTTTAAGAGTGTTTAATTCTGATAATTCTTAAATGTTTTTCTGAAATACACAAGAGAACTCTTCATTGAAAATAATCAGTTTTCGAAATTATGAATATTGATATCTAATTTATACTTGATCAGACAACGCTTTTAGGGTACCTCTGTCACTGTGTGAATAGGACATTGCCATGGAGGGTCATTTGAAATTACGCGTCAGTCTCCTTAAATTTTAAATTACGCTTACAGTCTCTTTAAATTTGAAATTACGGTACAGTCTCTTTAAACATTTGAAATTACGGTACAGTCTCTTTAAACAATTGAGATTACGCAAATATATTTATTGGTTGGATTCTAATATTGTAAATAATACAATTATTATTTGTACAGTTTTCAAAAAAAAAATCCTATGCAGAAGTAGATTATAGAGAACCTTCAAATAATTAAGTTTTCTAACCTTTCGAATAAGACTGCATCCCAGCTACCCATTTCAAGTATAAAATTTTTAATTGATCATTTAAATAACCTACATAACTATTCTGAAAATAATTTTAATGCTTAAAAAAGGGAAATTTACACCAAAAATCAAACCATTATGCATTTTTTATTTTTATTTAAAATAAGCTTTAAATTTTTTTTATTTTTCTTGAATGTTATGGTTCTTAAGGATCTAATTCTTTCTTAGTGAATACACTACACTGTAAGGAAAATATTTCATTCAAATTGTTATTCGGTTTTATATTCGCAATGCTTCTTATACAATAATTCTTCAATCAGTGATGTTTTGATATAAAAACATACGAGTTTTCAATTTATTTTAGCTAAACTCTCCTATTTACTAATGTTCTGGACGAAAGGAAACATTATTTTAACATTAAAATTAAAAAAGGGTTAATTTTTCTTCACTAAAAAAGTTAAGCAGATCTCTTTATTAATCAAACTTCAGAATCATTTTCCAGCTTTTTTAAAATTGAATAGTTGGCCATACATGGAGTGAAACTTATAACCTTTTACGTAAAATTAAAGGCAAACATTTTTAGAATCAAAAATTCTTTGTCCTTTTTAAGAGAACAAAAACTGAAACAAATAATACTAAAAAATGTAGGATTTGATTATCTTTTCACTTTCTCTTTCTCTTTCTTGTTAACCCAGCAAAATGGCGAAATAATTTAATTTGTATTTAACATCATAAAGATTGCATTGATAGGATTAATCCAAACTAAAGGATTGAATGCCGTATTCCAAAATCGTCTGTTTTTTGGTGTTTAACCTGTTAACATTCAAACCATACACTATGTATTGTATACACTATATCTACCTATATCTATACTGTCTATCTATTTACTTGTCTATCTAACCTACCTGCCCTGTACGCTCAGGCACTGGGGATAATTGTAGCTTTACGCATATAAGGAAAAAACAGAGGATTTTAAAAAACTTGAAATAGAACATTACATCACTTAATTTGAATTTTAAAGATTGGTATTTATTATTTATTTTTGCTACCTAAAATTCATTGAGGTAACCCTTAAACGTCTATTTGAGAAACATTGAGGAAAATATCAAAAATAGTGTTTAATTTCAATAATTTCCTTCATTGTCTCTGAAGCATAAATGATCAAGTCACTTTAACAAAGAATTTGAAGATAATAAATTCACAGGTTTACAGCAACGGCAATAAGATATATCTCAATCTTTCTTGATCAGGCAAAGGTTTAAATAATACCGGTGTGAGTACAGGTCTGTAGCAAGGGGGGACAGGGAGTACACTTTCTGAGACATTAAAGAAGAAAATGAAAAGTAGGAAACGAAAAATGAAAGAAAGAAGGCAGAAAAGGGGAGAAAATTGGCATAAAATGTCATTTATGTAAAAAGTATTATTTTTTTTCTTCAAATTAAAGAATAATTGAGTGCTTTCTGAAATAAATAATTTGGAAATTCTTATTTCTATCCTGTCTTTTTTTTGTATTTTCAGAAGCTTATCCTTTTCCCTTCTTTCTTAGATGAATGATTCTACTGAACCATCGTACAGCAAAAAGCAAAAAGTATCATGGAGACAATAAATTGATTACAAAATATGGCCAGGTTTAGGAGAAGCTTGGGAGAAGCTGTTTGTACTCATCCTCAAACTTGCACGGGAGTTCTTTTTTGAATTTTAGTTCCGAGAAAACTGAAGATTTTCATACTTGAGCTTCTCTTGATCCTCTTGATCTTTACAAGCATTTACATCCTTTCCCTGTTGTAAAAATAAGTATTGGCTATTCCTTATCTAAAAATTTTCAGCTGTATATTCATTTATAGTTTAACCATAGATAATGATAGATTTCGCATAAGACGACATTTTTCATCTTGAAAGATATAAATGTACAGAGATGTTTTAAAGATATTCCTATCATATAGATTAACTTGGTCGGTTGTGAACATTACCGTTCTTATGTCATTAAGTACTTGTGGTGTACGTAAGTTCTGTAGAGAGAAATTTAAGTTAGTTTAGACCCCTAGAAGTATGAGTTCGCAGACTGTACAATTCTTGGTGATTTTGCGTACATAAGCTATCTGTGTTTATTTATTTATCTATGAGTTTAACTTCCCCCCTGTCTCGAATATTTCCATCTTGAGCACCTCCAACGGTTCAATAAGTCCTTGTATAGCTCAGTTTCCTATTAGAAGAATGATACTGGAGAAACTGAACAATAGATATGAAAAGAATGCATGCAACACAACAAAGAACCGGAAGGAGACAACTCTGTCAAATTCATTTATAAATTAATCAATTAAATTTCTAGAGACTTGCATAGATGCGCAAAAAAGTCTTCCTCCACCAAAATTAGATCTTTACCGCCTCCAAGAATAGATATCCTTCCTCCAAGAGTAGATCTCCCTCTTCCAAGAGTAGATCTCCCTTTTCCAAGAATATATTTCTCTCCCCTAAGACTAGATCTCTCTCCTCCTAGACTAGATATCTCTCCCCTTCGACTAGATATTTCCTCCTGAATAGATCTCTTTCCTCCTAAACTAGATCTCTCTCCTCAAAGACTAGATCTCTCTCGTTCTAGACTAGATCTATATCCCCCTAGACTAGATTTCTCTCCTCCTAGACTAGATCTCTCTCCTCCTAGACTAGAGCTCTCTTCTCTTAGACTATATCTCCTCCGAGACTAGATCTCCTCCTAGAAAAGATCTCCCTCCTCCTAAACTATATCTCCCCCCTCCTAGACTAGATCTCTCTCCTTCAAGCCTATATCTCCTCTTAGACTAGATCTATATCCCCCTAGACTAGATCTCTCTCCTCCTAGACTAGATATCCCTTCTCCTAGACTAGATTTCCCTGCTCCTAGACGAGATCTCCCTTCTCCTAGACTAAATCTCTCTCCTCCTTGACTCCGACTAGAATTGTCAAACCTACTTCAACCCAAATTTCTACGTCTACAACCACTTCTAATTCTCCGTTTGCCCCCCTCAGATTTTAATTACTCGTGATGTAGAACTGAAGAAATTGTAGTGCAGTGCATGGAGTCTATTTAATGATATCATGGTACAGTCTAATACTCAGTTCTAATTTTATCCTTCCTCATACATGACACAGGTCTGATTGCTCCGTTGCTACTTCGTTATGTTATTCTGAGTACACTACACTTTCAGAGAGGAATGTAAATAGCACATTGCTCACCGTCCGATTCAAGGAATATATGCTATAGAAACCCAATATCTTTCTTTACTGAAAATGTTTACTGTCACAGTTTTGGGGAAAAAACTTCTTTCTTTCAAAAACTGTATATTACAATATTTTTTGTATACAACGTTATGGGAGATCCTGGCATATATTCTTTGTCATGAGAATTCTATTTTTTTCATTTTTTCCTCTAGTGAAAAAAATAAAAAATAAATTCATGAAAATATTCAAATTAATTCAAAATGTAAATTGTGATTGTGTTTAGATGAATCCTGTTATCCTAATTACCTGGTTTGGTTTACTCCTGGTACTTCCTAACCAAGCCTATGGTTATGAGGACTTGGAGAACTTTGATCTGGAATCTGATAAATACCTAGATCAAGAGGATATCATTCCACAAGAGAAAATTTCAGACGGAGATAAAATTTCTAGTTCCAACAAGCATTATGATCTTAAAGAATTTCCTCTTAGTGCCAACTTCCTAACCGAAGAGATCGATGAAGGTTCCGATGAAAGTGATTCTCCTGAATTCACTTCAATCAACGATCTGATTGCTTCACAGAGTATTGATACCCTGGCCTTCACTGACAATGACTTTGCTATTAGTAGCAATATCCCTACATCTTACAGAAGTGGTTCTTCTTATAATAGCAACACTCCAGTCTCATTTAGCAATGATATTCCTGCTTCCCATAGAAGCATTGATCCTACCTCTAGTAGCAGCGATTTTTCTTTTGATATCAAACCGCTGTCAAACAGTTACACTGGCCCTTTATCTACTCAAAATGCTTTTAATCCCATAAAAAGCAATTCTCAGTCTTTCAGTAGCAATGAGATTTCATTCAATAGCAACGCTCTTTCACAGAGAAACCCAGGGCTATCCTTCGATTTTGGTGCTCCCTCTGCTGGTAGCACTGCTCCTTCCGCCAGTGGTTATGCTCCTTCTCCAGAAATCAATATTCAATCCTTCGATAGCAATATTCATCAATTTGGCAACAATGATTCATCCTTTAATAGCAATGTTCCTCAATTCAGCAACAATGATCCATCCTTCAGTAGCAATGTTCCTCAATTCAGCAACAATGATCCATCCTTCAATAGCAATATTCTTCAATTTGGCAACAATGATCCATCCTTCAGTAGCAATGTTCCTCAAATCAGCAACAATGATCCGTCCTTTAATAGCAATATTCTTCAATTTGGCAACTATGATCTATCCTTCAATAGCAATATTCCTAGAATTAGCAACAATGTACCTTCCTTCAGTAGTAATATTCCTCCCTTTCCAAATAATGCTCCATCCTTCAATCCGACCATAAATGTCAACACTCCTAATTTTTTTAACACTCCCTCTCTACAAAGCTTCAATGCTCCTCCGCTCCAAAGTATCAATCCAAACCCCTTGATAACCATATCGTCTTCCTTCAGAAACACTGCTCCTTCTTATAATAGCAATACTCCTGAGTTAAATAGTAATACTCCTGCTACATTTAATGGCAACGATTATACTTTCAAATATGGCAACGGCAAATTTAACAGATTTAACGCAATAGATATTACTCAACTGCATAAGAGTATTGGAAAGTCCTACATTAACATTGATCAGCCATCAGGAAGAAATGCCCAGTATTCAGAAGGCAGTGCTCAATCTCTGAGAAGCAATGATGATCATTCTATTGGCAATGCTCAAAGCTTTGGTAACAATAAAAATCTAGGGACCATTGATCAGTTTTCTGGATGGAGTGATCAACATTTCGGAGCCAAGGATCAATCTTTTGGGAGTAATGGTCAATTTTTTAGTAACAACATTGATTTTGGAGCTAAGGATAAGTTTAATGAAGGACATGGTCAATTTTCAGCAAGCAATCAAGATCCCACTGCCCCGGGTAAAAGTAAACTATATAATTTTGTTATCAAAGAAAAATCCCCTTCTTTAGAACATATTGTAAGTAACAACCAATTTTCCCATGAAACAGTAGTTGAGCATGCCAACCCCCAAGGCTATGATGCTCAGTCCTATGATCAACCTGCTCCCTATGCATATGAGTACGCGGTTGAAGATTCATATCATGGAACAAAATTCAGTGCCCAAGAGAACTCTGATTTATCTGGAAATGTTGTTGGATCTTATTCAGTTCTGCTTCCTGATGGTCGGACCCAGTACGTAAACTACAATGCTGCTCATGGTCAAGGGTTCGTTGCCTCGGTTAGTTATGTTGATCATTCCTTAGGTAGTGGCAGCAGTAGTAATAGCATCAGCAGTGGTAAAAGTAACCTAGAGCATAATAAACACTTGAAAACAATTCCAAGTTTAAGAGAAGGGACTGAAGATCATGTATCTATCCTACCTTCCTTCACCCAGAAGACAGGAACTAATTTTATCTCTCTACCTGGAAAATCTAATCCAGGACGCATTAAATATAAAGATTTCTCTGTCTAATCATTCGTTGAGAAGAATTCAAGAAATCTTTTTAGAAACTTGGAACCCGTTTGTACAGATCAAACCTCAAAAGTAGCAACAACCGTTGGTCCTCATATTGAAACTTTTAATGTATGTAGTATATTAATAAAAAATCGAATATTGCAGTAAAAATTATCTTTTGACAGTTGATCACAACTTTCTGTCGTTTTGAATCAGCCTGACTTTACTCACTTCTCTTTGTCAGTTCTTATTTCATGTTTTCTCGCTTCTTTTAACAAAAACTTAAAAATTCTTGTTTTGTTGAATTTTTGTTTTCGTTTTGCGTTTTTTCGTAAAGGAATGGACTCTTTGCCACAAACTCTGATTTCTAATTTCAATATTGACCCAATTTTGCATTGATTTGATATTTAAAACTATAAATTCTGTTAGATGAAATAATTTAAGCTATAAATATCAAAAGTTTACACCATCAGGTTGTAAAGATTAAAGAATTCGAAAATTTGAATTTGTGACAGAGACCTAATTCCTTTCTTTGTTAAAAGTCAAATTAATTTTAATTGAACACTGAACAGTTAATAAATTGTTGCCTCACTCAAACATAGTTGAAGCAATTGATATTTTGATAATTCTAAAAATAGTTTTATAGTTTTAAAAAGGAACAACATTTAAGTCTTCAAAAATTAATCTATGTTGTCTATTTTTGTCCGCATGGCTTTATTTATTAAAAAACTAAATTTCTTATAAATTGCAAGCTTTTGAATTTATACAGTGATAATCAGAAAACAATGGAATTGGAAGACGGCATTATAGCAATACTTAAGTGTGTTTGATGTTGCTACTAAGTAAATAGTTTTACTGGACACTTGAATTGAATCACTAGTTAGTGATATCGGTATGTTTACACTGCACAATTGCTGTGTCTCATGTTTATGGACTTAAAAAAGTTATAACTTGATTCTAAAAGTCGTCTTCCTGTTTCAGAGTTTTCTGTATTAGATACATGTATTCAAGGTACTAATGCAAGGAAAGTTAATTGCGGTCGCGTATACTCTGCGTCTGCGCACATATTGAAACCAGTTTTCTCTGGGCGGACTTTGTAAACAAGAATAGATGCATTAGTGTTCGTCTAGTATCCTAGGAGGTTAAAAGCATTTAATTTTGATTAATTTGAAAATTCAGATAATATTTTATTATGACCAGAATATTTCATAGATTATTTTTGTAAAAATGGATTTCATGTCAGGCTGTGACATCCGTCTTGTGTTTACTTTTCCGCCTAAAGACAGTACACTGCAGTACAAAAAATGTGTACACCTCTGAAATAGCTTTTATTGCATTAGTGCCTTGCATGTATTTAAATATCTTGTAGAAATGTTGTGGTGTAAGCTTTAAGATAATCCAATATGCCGTGGATCATCCTAAATAAACATAAACAATAAACGTAGGAGAATGGAAGACGACATTTAAAACATTTTCATTTTATTCTGATTGAATTGAAGGAGGAAGGGAACCCCTGACGCCATGAGCCTCCGCGATGTAGACACAATCCTCCCATATCTGTTAAGCAGACCGAGCCTACTCCATGCAGTAGAGCCTCCACTATGCAGTCCGCTATACAGCGCAGCTTCCTTATAATTCTTGGTTTTAACATGTAATGCAGATTTTTTTCATTTTTTTTAACAAAGTGGCACAAGGATATTTTTAAAGATTAATGTTGTTTATTGATTTGTAACTTATATTAACTCATGAAGTAGTTTATAAGATTTATGTTTTACAATAAAACATTTTTTACGCAGTAAGAAGGCTATTTGGAAATTCATTTCTGAATTGAACTTAGTTTATTTTATTGTAATCTTTGATTTAAGCAATACCTTTTTTGGGATTTTTTTTATATGCAGATTAATTGTCAAAATTTTGATTACCTTAATCTGTTAAAAATTTCAAAAAAGACATCGCTTAAATCAAAGATTATAAAAATATCAAATAAAATAATTTTCAATTTTTTTTCTCTAAATGAATCCTTTTTGCGTAAAAAGAGTTTCAAGTTTTTTAAACCACTTTACTAGTCATAATTAGTCACTATTCATAATAATTGATTAATACTTCTAATCTTTGATAAACTTTTTATGCCACTATGTCAAAAAAATACAAAAAATTCTTTACTACATGTATAAACCAAGAGTTTTAAGGAAGCTATTCTGTATAGCGGAGGCTCATTTACTGCATGCGGAGGCTCGGTCTGCATGGCGGAGGCTCAGTCTGCTTAGCAAGTCTGGGTGGCTCATGTCTGCATAGTAGAGGCTCATGGGCCTTGGCGTCCGGGGGTTCATAGTGGACCATAAAGATAAACTAGTTTAAATGTTTTATTCATGGACGACATGTTGTTTTTCAAGTCGTAGTTTGGATGAAGTTCTAAACAAATCCTTATAAAGTCGTCTTCTTATTCTTAGAATTGGACTAGACAAGGTAGATCAGCTATGTAGTTGTTCTACTTTTTTACTTTATATATCGTCTTACCTAAGGTGTTCAGCCCTTCTGCTAACTATTATGAAAACGGAAATTTATTTGACAAAAAATATGATTTTTAAAAAAGAAATTCTAAGATTTTATCTTTAACAGATTTTTAATTTTCGGCTCAGATCCTGCTTATGAATATTTCATCAACGAATCATGAGATTTGATGAAAAGTTAAAGAAGCTGGAACCAGTTTAGCTAAATTCAAAATATTGTTATATTTTAATATACTAGGGTGTCCCACGAGACATGACTGTAGCAAGACAACTTGAATGTCGTCATTGGTTTTTAAACTAATATGCGACATTTTTTCGTGAACCTAATTTTTGAAGTAAAATATTGACAAAGTATCCCTAGTTCTGGCATTTCCAAGATTTGGTCTGCGGGCCTCCTTGTGCTTTCAATATTACCGGAGAATGTTTGTTCAGATTTAGAAAATTTTGAGTTTTTTTTTTAATAAATTGAAATCTGAACGAAATTCTTAATTCATAGGGTTTTGAACAAGAACAACTAATTGTTAGAAATTACATATCAAAGCTTATGTTGTTAACATTAAAAATAAAAATGTAAATAACTGAAATTATTTTGTCGAAACACCGAAAATATATCTAATCATCATTGATACATTGTAAAGAAAGTATTAATATAATTGTCTGCCCCCCCCTCACGGATTTATCTTCCAGATTCATAAAAAATATCTCTGTTTTCCAATATATCTGTAATCTGTAGATACGATCAAATCAAACCAAATCAAATCGATATTAAATCTATGTCTGGCCTTGTTCTATCCTTGCTGCAGTCTCAATACATCATATAGAGAACAATATTTCTAATCCTTATCTTTACCTATTCATGCTCGTATAAAATACCATTCAAACATTTTACAGATACTGCAGGCTGTTCAAGATACAGATACAGGGTGTATCAGATACAGATACAGGCTGTTCCAGATACAGATACAGGATGTACAACATACAGATACAGGATGTACAAGATACAGATACAGGGTGTACCAGATACAGGTACAGGGTGTACCAGATACAGACACAGGGTGTACCAGATACAGATACAGGGTGTACCATATACAGATACAGGGTGTACAAGATACAGAAACAGGGTGTACCAGATACAGATATAGGGTGTACCAGATACAGATACAGGGTATACCAGATACAAATACAGGGTGCACCAGTTACAGATACAGGGTGTACCAGATACAGATACAGGGTGTACCAGATACAGATACAGGGTGTACCAGATACAAATACAGGGTGCACCAGATACAGGTCCAGGTTGTACCAGTTATAGATACAGGGTGTACCAGATATAGATACAGGGTGTACCAGATACAAATACAGGGTGTACCAAATACAGATCCAGGTTGTACCAGTTACAGACATATTAGGTAACAGCTATACAGATATAGGGTTTACCAGATACAGGGTGTACTAGTTACAGATATATGATATGAGGTACCAGATACAGATACAAGGTGTACTAGAAACAGATACAAGGTGTACCAGATACAGGGTGTACCAGATACAGGGTGTACCAGGTACAGGGTGTACCAGGTACAGGGTGTACCAGGTACAGGGTTGTTGACCATAAATACAACTACAGGGTGTACCAGTTACAGATATATGATATGAGGTACCAGATACAGATACAAGGTGTACTAGAAACAGATACAAGGTGTACCAGATACGGGGTGTACCAGATACATGGTGTACTAGAAACAGATACAAGGTGTACCAGGTACGGGGTGTACCAGATACAGGGTGTACCAGGTACAGGGTGTACCAGGTACAGGGTTGTTGACCATAAATACAGCTACAGGGTGTACCAGTTACAGATATATGATATGAGGTACCAGATACAAGTACAGGGTGTACTAGAAACAGATACAAGGTGTACCAGCCACAGGGTGTACCAGATACACGGTTGTTGACCATAAATACAACTTCTAACCCCCGAACCCTCCCTGTAAGTCGTCTTTACCAGGACCCCTCTTAGAGAATTTCCAAACCAAAGCAAGTCTCCGACAGTTTTCTGTACTCTCTGACAAAAGGGAAACAGCAAACAGTGAAACGTTTTACTAGTGAAAGATCAAATCCATAAATAAGTTTAGTAAATTCCACTGAAACAACCGGGTTTATATTTTCAGAAGTATTTACAAATGTTTTAAAGTATTCCATCAGACACTCTGACCCTTCATCAGTCCTTATCACCCTGACACGATAAAATAGTAAGATATATTATTAATCATTCAATAACATTTATACATTGCCATTTATTTTTACAATACCTGCATTTTATCGCAAGTTTAAAATCTATGAATTAACATGAATATTTGCAACTTTTGTGTCCGGGTTAAGGAGCCTGACAACGAATCAACCGACCAACGGATCAACTAGCCAATTGACCAACCAGTCAACATCGACGCCCACCTACGGTTCTACAACAGTGTACTAAATACAGGGTGTAGCATATAAAGATACTGGCTGTACCTCCTTCTCTTCTTTCTCCTCCTCCTCCTCCTTCTCTTCTTTTTCCTCCTTCTCCTCTATATCCTTCTTCTCCTCTATCTTCCCCTTCTCCTCCATCTTCTCTTTCTCCTCCTTCTTCTCCATCTCCTTCTTGTCCTCTATCTTCCCCTTCTCCCCCATCTTCTCTTTCTCCTCCTTCTTCTCCATCTCCTTCTTGTCCTCTATCTTCTCCTTCTCCTCAATCTTCTCTATTTCCTCCATCTCATCCATAGATGTATAGATATATAGTTAGTTCGTAGGCTAATCTTCTCCTGGACTCCCAGAGAGTTGGGTAATCAGAGCTAATTGATACAACAAGGTATTTATATATACTATATACACTTACATATCCAGGGGGTTCAAAATAAAATGGAAATAAGAATGCATCTAGAAAATACAATTCAGAACTTTCAGTAAATTATTTTCGGAAATAGATACAAATTATACAAACCTTAGTTTTGAATTAAATTTAATGTGGAATATTAAAGAATGCCAAATCATGTTTCTTGTATTTTTGGGGCACACTGTAAATGTATTTAGGCAGATTTTCTTCATAATCATTTATCCTTGCAGCATAATGCACATTCTCTTCTATCTATACACTGTGAGACAGAGATACAAAAAAAACCCTAAAAACATATTTTAGAATTAGACGTTCTTTAATATGAATATCAACACACCGAGGATGTACCCAAAAGTTTTTTCTTCTAAGTTATGATATTTAAAGTTAATCGGCGTCCTACTCTAACTGACCACAACGCTAGACCTACGGTCCTAGTCTGTTATTGTCGCAGGGCTCAGCTAAGATTTGCAGCGCTCGGCTCAAAAATTTTATACTTTACAAGGTCTACTCCACCTGTTTACGATACTGTGGTGTACACCGTGTATATCTCTAGGAGTAGAAACTGGAATGTTCTCTTTCAAAAAGTTATTTATTTATTGTGAGATTCCAAGTCTTCCTTACGCGTGAATGCATTAAAAAGTCCGTAAATATCTCTTGGTATTTCTTGACTTTTTCTTTATACATACTCTTATTTATTTATCTCTAGTATAAGGGCAGGTAGAGCTGAGCGCCCAAAATCTTGCTCGGAGCACAGCTCACATTCCTTAGTAGTAAACCAACAGTAGAGGTGTAAAGACGTTTCACGTTCCAACCTAGTGTATAGTGAACTATAAAGTGAACCATGGTGTTCGGTTAAACAGTTAAACATAAAGATGGCAGAGAAAGAGGTAAAAAGAATATTTAAAAATTAGAATACATTGGGGGTTTTGTTCTTATTTTTGGTTTGGGGTTGAGAACTTGAGATCGGTCACAGGACAAGATTAAAACAGGATTTTCTTAGTTTAACCTAGGTCAGAAACAATAAGATAAAGTAATATATCGGGGCATGCAATGGCCAGGAAATGTGGGGGGGGGTTCTTTCGAGAAAGAAAGGGGTGGGGGTCAAGGATAGGGAGAGGGCATCGGAGTTAAAAGGAAGCATCAAAAAGTAGAATTAATGGAGTTAGAATAAAATTTCTTTACTTAGCACACCTATTCTCTATCATAACAATTTAGATAAGATGGCAAATTTATTAACATAAGTAGGATCAATTTTAAATCAAACCAGAAAAGGAAAAAATAGAAGACGCCACTTTTCAGTAAATATGTTTCGACATTTTATAAAATTTATATTTATGAATTGATACAAGTGCTTTAATCAATCTTTAGTAATACAAACTGGAAATATGTTTACTGATATTTAGTTTTATTTGTATGAGTGAGCTTGTGCCCACATCCCTTATTTAAAATTAAATTATTAAAGTTAAAAACATTCTTCTTCCATAGATACAAAGGAAAAAAAAGATGAAAAACAAAGAAAAAAATATAAAACTCTTAAAGTTTCATGAGCCCAGGCCCCCCATTCAACATTCAAACTTTAGATGAATCAGCCTTTATGCTCCACAAAGAATTAATTTCTTATCTTTTTTTTCAAAAATATTTAGTTGTTCATTTAAGTACAGTATATTATCACTGAAAAAAGAGAATAGAGGGAATTAATCTGTCAAATTATGAGCACTTATCCACTCAGCTTTTAGAACTTTGATTACTGTCGTCATCCAATCAGATTTATTCCTTTCATCCTGACATTGCTATCACGACATCACTTTGATTCAAACTGATCTTTATCACTTTTCTGATCGCTTATGATAGATTTTTTTTAGCTTTGACTTCTAATTATAATTTGTTAGTTTTATTAAGATAAAAAAACATTAATCGCGTTGTTTTACAATGTGTAGTGATAACAGAGGCGTACGAGAGAATTTTTATGGGGGGGGGGGGCACTTTTTGCGCGCGCCAGCGTCAGCGCACCAAAAAAATTTGTGTGCGCCCCCCCCCCTGAAAAAATCCCCTTTTTGGAAAAATATTGATACCTTTTTTAACTATGTAAACTGTTCGATCATATACACACTTCCAAATAACAACTGTTAATACATTATTTATGTAATTTTCTTAAGTGGACTCATCAGACGAATCAGACACTTCATACTGTGGTGAGCTTAAATGGGTGAAAAATAGAGATGGAAACCTTTCTTTAAAAAAATATCTATTTCATAATAATGTGTACTTAAAAATAATGATATCAAAGATATATTTACACTAAAGGCAGTATTTATTAAAGCCTTTTTAATGAAACTTTTTTAGTCAAGAGAAAAAGTGAGATTTTAAAGTATTTTTTATATGGGTGCCCCCCTCGTACGCCCCTCCTACGCGACAACAAAGGAGGTTATACTACGATTGTGAAATCCAGAAATAGTAAAATAAATGTTCTTTCTAAAAGTAATAATAAAATTTTTTTTTTTTTTAACTGATTTATCTAAAATGTGTTTTGAATATTAACCGAAATATTTTATGTACAAAATATAATTAAAGCAAAAAAGAATTATTCCACTTATTTCTGTATGCCACTGTATCCAAACTATTTATTTACGACACAACCCTTGTTAGCTAGCTCTATGTACAGGACTAGCCGGTGCAACAAGGTTGACGCAGTCAGACTTTATGCTTCATATAGGTTGAATTTACTTTTACTAAAGGGGCAGATTTGCGTGCCCTTGTTAGCTAAATTGTAGTAGTATTAAAACTGGAAATGTATACGGCACCATTCCAATTTTAGTTGCTCACATTAGTTTTTTTTTCTTCTTTTTTTAATTTCCTTCAACTTTCAAAAAGAATTAAATTCGAATTAACTTCTAGTCAATATAAGGTTGGGGTGTATACTGTATATAGGTCAATTATCAGCTAGGGTTCTCTTGTCCTTTAACAATTCAAATTATGTTCATTAATAATATTACTAATCGTATATCTCGGTCTCATTAGTTTAGCTTTCTATCTATCTATTTATCTATCTATTCATTCTTCGATCTCTATAAGGATATATCTATCTATTTTTCCATCTATTCATACTTAAATATAGGTCGAAGTTTTTTTTCATTTTCTATTAATTTCCTTTTTTTCTTTGTCTGTTCATATCAACCAATCGGTTTATGATCCTTTCTTTGGGTTTCCTTGCACTTTTCCCTCTTATTTTATACGTTTTATTTTTCCTTTTATTCTATACGTTTTATTTTTCCTCTTATAATTTACGTTTTATTTTTCCTCTTATTCTATACGTTTTATTCTAGTTCCCCGCCCACTTTCTATACAATAATTGCACTCATATAACGTTCACTTCACTTTTTACATCGCTTTTGTTCCCACTTTTCATCCTTTATTCCACCCAATCTTTCTCTCGTCCTTGCCAGTGTTTCTAAACCCTTCATAGTTTCTTTTATTTGTTTTTTCTTATTTATAATCCTTATTTTTCTCTTTAAAACTTCATTTTCGTTCCTCTTTCCTTTCTCCTTGATCTTTTATGTTCTGTCTCTCTTTGTCCGTCCATTTTCTTCGTTTTCGTTCCATCCTTTTCTTTTTCCTTGTTTTACCTTTCATGTTCCTCTTTCTTCCGTCTGTTTTTTCCTTTCTTCTTCCTTTTTCTCCCTTCCACTTATCTCTTTTTTATTCCGTCCATCTCCTTCTTTTTTCTTCTTCCTTTTTATTTCCTCCCTAAACCTTTCCTCTGTATGCTGACTCCACCCAGTTCCAGGAATACATGTGAAGAATAACGGGAAATAAATTATGATGAGAACCCTTTACGAAAACGCCTTTTCCATTCTTTATCAGAGAAATATAGTCATAGGCGCAACGTTGTTTGACAGGGGAGAGGGGCAGATCAAAATAAGAATGATAAATGTATTTAAAGATTTATTTTTGAATATCACGATGGTTTCGTTCTGAAAGAAGTTTTGCTGTGAATATACATGCACTGTGTCCCCTTAAAGGATTTTATATACAAAATGTAAAAACAAGATTTTTCAAACGTACGTCAAAACTAACATTTTCCTTAATGAAACCTGCTTTCTAATTTTCCCAACAAAAGTACCGTTCTCAGCACTGTGATTTGTGCTGTTAATCCATTTGGATCGTTTTTGAAAACTTTTAATATTTCCACAAGCAAGGTTTGCAAAATTTGTATCACCAGAAAAAATCAAAAAAACGATCTCAAAACGATCGTTAGAACACGTTCGTTTTTTGTATGTTTTTTTTTGCCTATCAGGGCCAAAACTTGGCAAAGTGCGGCCTGCGGGTAAACAATTGCTAATCTTCCATAATGCTAAATTAGGCAACAAAAAAACAGAATGCACATCACTAACTGTGATGGATGAATACACGAGGATTTAAGAAGATAATCTACATTTTTTAATAATACATGAATACAGCAAGCGCATCTCTGATCACAATACAAAGGTTGCAGCTTATCATGTTATAACGTTCTACACCTTTAATACTCCACACACATTAATAAAATTGGAAGGGGATTTTTCTTTTGGTGTACTGTGGCATTTTGCCGTTTTAGTCCATACTGTACAGTGTACAACTTCCTTAAAGCCGTTTCGGTACCTCAAATCTATCATCTGTCCTTCTATTTATCTATCTATCTATCCATCTTTATCTAACTATCTAACTATCTGCTTACAGATTATCCCCCGTATAGATTTAAGTTCTAATTGCTTAACTACTCAACTTCCCTTTGTAAATATATACACAACTACAAAACATGCATTACTAATGCTCAAAGAGGGGGGGGGGCCGGTTGTGAAAAGAGGGTGGTTGAGGGAAGGGGGAGGGGCATGGGGTCTGTTCATTATACAGACGTCCCATATCATATAAGATTATCAACAATCTTTAACACCAAAATACGCACATAATACGCGAAAAAATCCAGCATTTTCTGCCAACAAAATTTTCTATTAGCCTTATTAAATTAGTCCCCCAAATCGTAATTTAGACCCATTGACTCGGTCTAATTTGATGTGGGACACCCTGTATTAAGTAAACAATAATATTGACGCACTGCTTGGACCTTTCCTGTCAAATAAATTTTTATTGTTTTATCAAAAAAGATCAGCAATATTCTTAAAGCTGTTTTCTGCTTTCTGAATTGAATTCTGAATCAGCTGTTTGCACAATCAGCTGCGAAATCGGCAGTAAACTCAGTTCAACACAACACCAATAATCAGGCTGTTAAATAATAAAATGTTGTACTAGTTGCTGAGTAGGATTATCAATAGGATTACATTTTCACAATCAAACTCGAACCTTGTCATTTTAGCCTAAAGTGAAGAGTGATATTTTAAACTTTAAAAAGTACTACTTTCTTTGACTTCTTTTTAACTTTATCACAATTTTTGAAATAGTATTTTTTTGAATTAAAGTGATTTATTATACAATACAAGATAATATTTGATGATAAACCTTATAAGCTTCTTACTGTATCTCAACTCTTAACTGGTTTTTTAAATCCTCAAAAATAAAAGTTTAACGGACATTTGAGGTTATTATACAGGGTGTCCTACGAAACATGACAGTTGGTAAATAGTTTAGAATGTCTTCTTCCATAATTTGTTAAGTCGTTTAATACCAAAGACAATGATAAAAATATTATATAGGAGTCATTTTATGGTAAAATTAACTTCAAAGTAAAATATATTTGAGCAAAAGATTTGTTAAACGAAATAAACTGCCAACAGCCTTTCTATTACAGTGTATGGAAGACGACATTCACAACTAATTACCAACTGTCATGTTTCGTGGGACACCATGTACAACCTGATTGGAATAATAAATTTCAGTTGAAATCAACAAAAAC